GGGGGTGGGGGGGGGCCGGGAAGGGGCCGGGCACCGAGGGCGGGGAAGTTGGGAGCGGAGAAGCGAAGCAGAAGGAGAGCAGCAGCCCCGGAGGAGAGCGGCACCGGCACCCCCGGACCCCCAGTGCCGTCGGAGGGCGACCCCAATCCGGCATCGCCTCCTCGAGGGTCCGAGCCCCCCACCCACCCAGGACGCTGGCGGCCGCGAGAGACATCTGCAGAGCACCGCAGGTTTGTTGGATCATTTCACATGCTTTATTTCAGCAGTCAAAATAATTAAAAACATCTCAAATTATTATACATATACAAACTAGGTACAGACTCCTCGTACACCCTGGAACATCTGCCTCGCTGGGAGATGGGCTGGCGAACGGGGTGGGTTCAAACCCCCTCCTCCCCCCAGGAGGGAGCGAGGGAGCGAGAAAGAGAGGTGAGAAGAGGAGAGGAAGGTTTAAAAAAAAGAGAAGAGCTGGTGGTGGCTGCAGAGGACGGCAGGAGGATGAGAGCGGCGGAGGAGCGGGTTAGAAAGGGGGGAGATGGATGGATGGAGAAAGAGCTGCTGGAAGATGAGAGCAGAAATGAAATGCACCTGCTTAACCTGGAAACCAGGGCTGCTTTCACGTGCTTTCCTTTCCCTTTCAAGGCTTTTTGGCTCTACCTTGCATTTGTCTCCACGCCTTGCTTTAAGGATGCATGTGTGTGTGGGTTTAAATAGCACCTTTAGAAAATTCACAAGTCGACCTGGGCAGCAAAGGGAGAAAGAAAAAAAAAAAAAAGAGGAGGAAAAAAACCCCAAAATCAACCCAAGACTCACGTCTTTTCAGACAGTTCCCATGTCTGTAGCACCAAGCGGTCCCGGGGCTGATGCTGCACAGTGGCTTCGCACAGCTCGAACCTCCGCAATTAGACCGAAATAAAACAAAAGGGAAATAAGGAAAAAAGGACAAAAAAATCCAGAGGGTAAAAAAACCCCGGCGACTCCAGAGGGACCTTGAACAGAGGGAAGGGTGGGAGGGAAAAAAAGGAGAAAATCAACATAGCAACAAAAAGGAGAGGAAAAACTAGATAAAACTTAGCACCTTTGCTCTGAACCTGGCAGGAAAGTCCCGGCACGGCTGAAAAACCCCAAACGAACCTAAAACTACTTGGAGGGAGGGAAAAAAAAAAAAAAAAGAAAAAAGAAAACCACAGCTGTGAGGTAGCCTTCCAGAAAAGGAGAATATACACTGAACGGTCCGGTTTTCTCTGCTCCAGGGATTTGGCTCTCGGGGTTTGCCTCGGGAGAA